AGGCGTCGATCTCGCCTTGGACGTCACAAAAAAGGCTGCGCTTCCTTAACTCCCTGCAAGGCTGCCTTGCCAAATCAGGCCTCTGCTTGCCTGGTTGGACATCCCCCTGCCTGGAAAAATATCGTACTTACCTGGCTGAAACTGGTGTGGCTGGACCTCCCCGCTGCCTGGTGGAGGCACTGCCCCTCCCACAAACGAAGCAAAGTAGATGGCACAATTCCACGCATGGGCTTGCGAAGCAGCCCAGGCGTCGATCTCGCCTTGAAAAAGGCTGCACTTCCCTGCAAAGCTGCCTTGCCAAATCAGCCCTCTGCTTGCCTGGTTGGACATCCCCCTGTCCGGAAAAATCTCGTACTTACCTGGCTGAAACTGGTGTGGCTGGACCTCCCCGCTGCCTGGGGGCGGCCTTGTGGAGGCACTGCCCCTCCCACAAACGAAGCAAGTAGATGGCACAATTCCACGCGTGGGCTTGCGAAGCAGCCCAGGCGTCGATCTTGCCTTGGACGTCCCGAAAAGGCTGCACTTCCTGAACTCCCTGCAAGGCTGCCTTGCCAAATCAGGCCTCTGCTTGCCTGGTTGGACATCCCCCTGCCTGGAAAATATCGTTACCTGGCTGAAACTGGTGTGGCTGGACCTCCCCTGCCTGGGGGCGGCCTTGTGGAGGCACTGCCCCTCCCACAAACGAAGCAAAGTAGATGGCACAATTCCACGCATGGGCTTGCGAAGCAGCCCAGACTTGGCTGAAACTGGTGTGGCTGGACCTTCCCGCTGCGTGGGGGCGGCCTTGTGGAGGCACTGCCCCTCCCACAAACGATGCAAAGCAGATGGCACAATTCCACGCATGGGCGTGCGAAGCAGCCCAGGCGTCGATCTCGCCTTGGACGTCCCGAATAAGGCTGCACTTCCTTAATTTCTGCAGTGAGTGAGTGAGTGAGTGAGTGAGTGAGTGAGTGAGTGAGTGAGTGAGCGAGCGAGCGAGCGAGCGAGTGAGTGAGTGAGTGAGCCAGTGAGCGAGCGTGAGTGGACGCACTGAATTGTGCCATAAATTATTCTTAGGGGGCTAAAAAACTGTGCCATCTATTTTGCATCCCGGTTGACCCCCAATTATCTGGCGCCGGCGCGCGGAGTGTAAATTATCTAAGCTGAAGAAAAGTAGATGGCACAGACCATTTTTTTGAGCCATCTATTCTCCGGGTAGAGTACAAACAGAGGACGCATGAGTACCATCTTGAAGAGACAAAAGCTGCCGGATTGTTCTTTTTCATGTACAGAATTTTACGCCCTTGCGCAGCTACTGCAGGATGTTTCATTTCCTTGGTGAAGTGTTTCTGTGCATTTCGATGATTCAGATGATTGCTCTGCGCAGCTTGCATCCTCGATGGCCTGGGAGAAATGAGGCCTGGTGTGCTGTCCCTCCTGGGGACTCACAGGCATAGGGCCCAGTGTTTCACTTCCTACCTTTGCCGTTACCCTTAGGGTGATGGCCATTCTGTTGGTGATTGATGCTTGCATTCCTTTTTTGGCATGTGGGAAAACGCAGCCTAAGTGCTGTGCTGTGACCTGGCCTTCTGCCCCGTGTCTTCGGAATTGGGCTAATTCGGGAATTTATTTGCTTGGCGGTTCCCTGAAGCCTCTTTTGTGCGCGAACGTTCTGCTTGTCGACCGGCGATTATGCTTCAAGCGGCATGGTCGGGGTATCACCAGTAATTCCATGGGCCTACCCATTAACTTTCCGCTCAAGCCGTTTTTCATTTCGCCGTATGACGCCCTGGTTCCACTTGAAACCAAAAAGCGTGGTTTTGGCAAAATTAAGTCGACCAAGCCCAAGGGGCCTAGGAAAACTTGCTTGCCCTACGCTGCACCTCCGTGAGGGAACTCTGTGTGTCCTCCGGACCGATTGATTGATGCGACTTCTTTTTCCGGTATTCCCAACTTCGATGTATTACTTCTTGATTTGTGCATACCTCCACGTTGGTGATGAGGATCGTGCGCAACTACCATGCAATCTGTGACTTGGCATGAGCTTCGGGCTCCCGCGACCCAACTGCACAGAGTGTGCTCTTGGTGTGATATTTTCTTGACTGTGCCAATCCGGCCTGTGGTGGGGTAAGTGCGTGGTTGTTTGTGCACCCTCACTCACACACTTGCTGCAATATGTGCCTCGTACTAACTCGTGAATGCTTGATTGACTTGGGAGTCTGTCGAAGCAACTCTACGTGTGTGCGCTACGCGGTAGCCATCTTCATGCCTCGCCTTGCACTGGCAGTGTTTCACCAGGGGTTGTCGTTGCAAGTTAATAGCGCTTGACGACGTGGATCTAGTCGCTGCCCTGGCTGGCCCTCGGGACACTTGTGTTTCGGTGTTGTGGTTGCTGTCTGCTGTTTCCTTTTCGCGTTGGTGTTCTTTTTTCTCACGGTTCCAGGGGGGAGGTGGCAACCAATCTCTGTCCCCGGCATTCAGAGATCTTTGCTGTGCTGTGTTTGGGCTTCCTTACGAAAGCAATCTTGCATCACGCATTGTAATGTCATACTTCCCCCCGTCCCCCCTTATCGCGGGTGAACGTGTGTCTAGGTTCCCCGCTTAACGCGTATCCGGGGTCCCCTGCTGTTGTAACTCTTTGTAATTCTCAAATGCCGGAAAACGTATCCGGGCTTCTTTATGTGAGAAAAGCGGCGTCCGGGGTGGCGTTGCCTGATTGGAACAGGTAGAAACCGTGTATCCGGGCGTATCCGGGGCATGTTGCGGCGATTGCAAAGCTGGGCGCACGCTGCCAGCTCGCGCGCACGTGTGCGTGGGCGCCGTTTTTTGTCGCCCAGGCGTTGGCGGCAATCCGCATCACTGTTATGAGTCTCGTGTAAAGCGCTCGTCTTTGAAGTATGTTGCTCGGGCCGGAACTAGGGCCGAACAAAAACCAGCGTTTTGGCCTTCTCCGCTGCGGGCCCTCGTTGTGAGACTTGACGCTGCTTTTTTGCGGGGCTGTAAGATGGAGTGTTTCTGCGCCGCACTACGTGATGCCGACCACTTTTTTGTTTAGGCTGTGACAGCACTCGGCGCGCCCGCCTCCCACCTTTGTCCCAGGCGGGCGCGGTGTGTCGGCAGAAGCTGCAGTGGCTTGCTTTTGCTGCCTGCTGGCTTCGCTGTAAAAGAAGGCTATTTTGGACAATCTGCTCGGCCCTTGATCAAGGGACCTTACAGCTGCCTTTTTGGTGATTCGTGGAAGGAACGAAAGAGGCGTACGCAACATTCCATCATGCATTGTAATGTCATACTCCCCCGCGTCCCCCCTTACAATGAAGAAGGAAGTCGCGGGTGAACGTGTGTCTAGGTTCCCCGCTTAATATCCGGGAGCCCCTGCTGTTGTAACTCTTTGTAATTCTCAAATGCCGGAAAACGTATCCGGGCTTCTTTATGTGAGAAAGGCGGCATCCGGGGTGGCATTGCCTGATTGGAACATGTAGAAACCGTGTATCCGGGCGTATCCGGGCATGTCGCGGCGATTGCAAAGCTGGGCGCGCGTTGCCAGCGTGCGCACACGTGTGCATGGGTGCCATTTTTTTGTGGCCCGGGCGTTGGCGGCAAACCCTTTCACTGTCATGAGTCTCGCGTAGCGCGCTCGTGTTTGAAGTTTGTTGCTGGGGCCGGAACTAGGCCCGAAAAAAACCAGCGTTTTGACCTTCTTCGCTGTGGGCCCTCTGACACTTGACGCTGCTCCTCTTTGCGGGGCTGTTGCGCCATTTGCGCAAGGGCGTTCATACGCCCGAGTTTTTTTTTAGATAGCCTTCCGGCCCTTGCGCTTGACGAGCTGCCAGGGGTTGTGAGTGTGGAGCGTGGAGCAAGCGTTGTAAGCAGCATTGCCACAAAGGAGCAGCTACCCAGCGCAAGCTTGCGCAGCTGCAGCTGGTAAAAAATTTGAGTCCGCTCACTTTGTTGCCCGCAGGGGGTTTTGGTGAGACTATAAGGGTACATGGCAAGGAAGGCTATTTGGACAGTTTGCTCGGCCCTTGATCAAGGGACCTTACAGCTGCCTTTTTGGTGATTCGTGGAAGGAACGAAAGAGGCGTACACAACATTCCATCATGCATTGTAATGTCATACTCCCCCCGTCCCCCCTTACAATGAAGAAGGAAGTCGCGGGTGAACGTGTGTCTAGGTTCCTCGCTTAACGCGTATCCGGGATCCCCTTGGAATCGCGTTTCCATTTGATTTAGCATTGCTGGAGCTTCCTTTTGAGATCTGGACTGCCTGGTTGTCTTTTTTTGGGGTGGGGCCGATGGACCGCACGAATTAGGGGGGTTATTAATTGGGCGTGTAAGGGGCCAATGTGGGGTACTCTTTGAAACCTCTAAACTTGATGTTTTTGTAAAGGGTTGAATACGAAATCGACCATCTCAGAACACTTTTGGTTTTGTGGCTTGTGCAGGCCCAAAAGCATCCACCAAGCTTGAAGATGAGAGTAGGAGGTGGAGATGAGAGCCCGAAGCAAGGCAGCAGCATGAAGAGAAAGGTATCAAAAGAAACCGTGAGCCCATTTGGGCCAAAGCACCTTTTCAAGACACCATTCAATAAAAACATGGCAAGCAGAATGAGTCCACAATATTCAACATCAGCAGCATCAGCTAGCACCAAAAATCTTTTTTTTACATTGTAATGAGCTCAGGCAGCAGTGGAGAAATGAGATAGCAGCAGCCATTTGGGGGAGGGGCCGGTTTAATTGGGGAGGGTTTTTTTAGATCCCTTTGTATTTGGGGGGCATGTTCTGAGTTATGAATTGTTTAGTATTGGGGGGGGCGACCCGGACCGGTTTAGGGGAGGGTTTATTAATACGAGTCAACATTAATTTGTTGAAAAAACGGACTCTATGTGATGCCTTTTGCTTTTGCTTACTCCATCCTCATGTCAGTTACGCTTCATGACATTGTGCAACCCTGCCCGTTTGCGCACGCGGCCTTCCAACGACTGTATTCTAAACTTGTTTGAGTCGGACAACGAGCGTGCCTCAGGAGAAGCCCCTGCTTGCCGATTCAGCAGTGCTTGTCTCTGAGGCGAGTGGTCTGGATGCAAGTTGCGCATGTTTTGGTCAATAGTTCGCCTTTCGCGACTTGTTGGAAGCATGTATCCCCACAACGAAAGGCCGATTTTTCCGTGCGGGCGCCAGTGTGAAACACAGTCTTTTCTTGCACCCTACAAATTTTAGCGCGCCAACTTGAGAAATCATGCCAACCAGATCCAAGCAAGGAAGTGAACCCGAGAAACCAGCCTTGTCCAATGCGCAGTTCAACACTGTGGGCACGCGCGCTGCCCCGAAATTCGCAGCCCGTCGCCAGCCCAACCAAGATAAGTGGGCGTGGCCAGACACCTGCAAAGAGTTCGGGGCCCATGCTCTTGCACGTCTGCTTTAGCTCCTTGAAATCTTTGTGCCTCTGACAAGTGTTATTCTACCGACTATGCGTCGCTCAACTTGCTACTCTTGCCAGGATGACGGATGTTTGTGCGTGTCAGCGGTAAAAGCGACCCTGTCCCAGAATCAAGGGCTGTTGCACAGACACCTACAAGAAGACTCTTTTGCTGCTTTCCCAAGATGTCCCTGAACCAGATCATTGCCAGGACATGGCAATCCGGATCTTTTCCGCCAAGTCGAAGGCGTTACTCTCCACGTTGCCGCCGCCTCCCAACAGCAAGGCAGGATGCGGGCGCGGAGCGAATGAAGTGCCGTGGATCGTTTGAGGTTTGTGCGCAACATGCAGTAGTGTGGTGTGTGGAAGACTCATTCAAGAAAACAAGGAGAGCCAGGGAACTCGAAAGCCAAGCAGTTATAAACCCCAAGCTTCGCCGAACGCAGGTGCTCGCAAAGAGCGACACAAACAAACGAGGCTGAGGGACACTGCGTCAGGGCTCATCGCAAGGAGTGTCCCCAAGGCTCCGTCCCAATCTCTTGGGCCTGCGTCAAGGCGCGCGGCCTCCGGCGTCCTCCGTCACGCATTCCCGGCAGCTTCTCCGGGCCAAATCTCACCAGCGCACGAACGACGTAGCCTCGTTATCAAAACGCCTCGGTCGGCGCACGGCCCCCGACGCCTCGGCCGCTTCAGCGGGCTTCACACGATCTGCTGCGCCCGGGAGAAGGGGGACGCAGTAGTATCCACTGCTTGAGGATGTCGTTGCAAACTGCAACGGAGGATCTGTTCTTTAACTAAACACCACAGCCTTCCACCCAGTAACATTAACTCTAGCCGGAGCTTTGCCGGTGGCTAGACACGGGACTGTCTATTTGCGAAAGCACAGGTACAGGTTCTGGAGGTGTTCATCTGCCCCGCCTGCGGCTCATGTGCAAAATAGGGTTGGACTGTTGGGCCAATAGTGGGTGGTCAAAGGAGTCTCGTGGCAAAGTCATGTCGGGAACCCACTTCGAGATTTCATGGAAAGGTATTGCAGTCACAATGGGAGCGCAAACTCGCTTATCAAAAATGAGCGACGCATTGGCAGCGGGGGGGGGGGGGGTAGCGCAAATGCAAAGGCCTTTTTCCTTGCTTGGATTCCAGATCCCCCCAAAGCAGGGGCTAAGGACTAAATGACCTTTGTGTGAAATGTTGCCATCGCGCAGTGGCTTCTTCCCGGCTTCCATTGTCAGGTGGCTACCCTAGAACCACTACCCGCAAATTTTAGTGAAACACGAGGTGGCGCCATAGCCACTCAGGTGAAGACGATTGTCGTTTGGCCCGGATCTGACCTTGTGATTTCCACATCATGTTTGGGGCAAAATTGCAAGGTTCCGGCGGTTCTAAATGGCTTCTATCGCTTCACTCAGGTTTGGCAGCTCCTCCTCCTTTGGCTCAGTTCCGAGGAG